GATAAAAGAGGAAACTTCCAAGGAGGTAAATACTTTTACAGGCTGACCTGTCAACAGAATTTAAACCATCACCTGTAAACTACAGCTCGTGTAACAAGGGAAACATTTTTTTTCCTTTTTTGTGCAGATTAAAAGCTGCTTTAAAAGCAGAAGAGCATCAACACCGCTTCACAACTTGTTGTTCTTGCTCGGGCGAGTGTGAAATCTTAGTGTACAGTTATTTGTCACCTCACACTTTACGTCTGAATCCGTTTTATCCATTAAGCTGTCAAGGAGGAAAGGTCGTCCTATTCTTGGACTACACTCACTTGTTCCAGAGACTGACCGAAGGAAAAAAAAACAACACGGGTAGAAGACTGAGGAAGGAAAAAGTGAGTTTTATATCAACCTTGAAATGATTTTGTGTTCAAGTGTGCGTCTCCTGTCGTCTCCGTGGTTTACGGTGAGTAATCGGAGCGCTCTGGTGGTTTAAATAATACCGACATCAGCCTGTAAAGTCACGTCAGAGCTTACTGTCTGCTCCTCTGTCGGCTCCGAGTCCATCTCCGGTTGGGCCAGTTGGCAGGTCGACTCTCTCAGATGGCTTCGTTTCTGACTCAACACCTGCTTCAGCTCTGCATGGAGCTTCTCCTTCTGCACCTGCAGGTCAGAAAGCACACATGACACAGATATACGAGGAGGTCTGTAGTGGAGGAGGACGTCAGGACGCCTTAGAAAAGACAGAATCAACCGATCATGGGTGAAAAAATGGTGTTTAAAATGATTTTTAGGCATTTCTTAATCGTGCACACACATGGGATTATAGTTATTAGATAATGACAGTAAAAGAGGTTAAAGTAAATGTCCTCGCTGTTGGTAAAATATTAAATTAAATATAAAAAAATTTAATTATTTTGTCATTTTATTCTTATTTTTCCATTATTTTATTCTTTGCGTGTTTGTTTTTATGCTAAAACGGCCACAACTGCATTAAACTGATGGCAGTTTTTACTGATTTAATTAATGAATTATCATTTTTGTTCCCTTGATTTAAAACAATAATAAAGGGAAGAGTTTGGTTTTGTGTCTAAACCGACTGAAACAACAAGATTTGATAACTAGTTTAAAGTATTTCTAAAAAAAAACCCAAAAAAACAACAACTAAATTTTAGCTCGAATTTATAAATGAAGAAATCAAATTTCTGGAAATTTAACAACTGTTTTTCAAATAAGTAATATAAATCATATGTGGCTTTACAACACAGGCACATTTTTGTGGTTTAAATTTTCATTTAAAGGTGTAATCTTCATTAATGCATTACGTTTCATAAAAACGATCTACACAATAGGATAAGACGTGATGCCGAAAAAGTAGAAAATCAATAAGCAGCTAAAACAAAGTTAGAATAGAACAATAAAAAATAATGCTGACACTTAAACTGAGGTAACGAAGTAGAAAATCCCACATGATAATAAAATATTGCAGCTGAAACATGAGATAAAATGAAATATTTCACATTTCACTAAAAAGTGTGTCAATATAAAAACTTCTAACTTTAACACCTGAAAGCTCTGTGACGTCTAAATCTATTTAATGTTCATAAAATACAATATTTAAGGTTCAAGGAGTCTTTTTAATCCCTGTGGGGTAATCTGTTATGTAAAACAATCAATCTGTGCAAGAATCGCACAGAAACAACAATAAAGAGCAAAGAGACGACGATAAATAAATCAAACAGGAAGTAGATCTACTTGTTAAGCAGAGCAAAGGCAGCAGGGGCAAAAGAAAACGCAATGCAATCAAATGCATCGCATTATGAAAGTCACATTAAAGTCATTTTAGCTTTTTGCTGCATTGCTTTAGTGTGACAACGTCCACTTAGCCTGTTAGCATCAGCAGCTATTTAGCGCCACCTGCAGGCGCCACCGTCTCCACCAGCAGCCGCTCCGTCCTAAAACCAAAGCTGCCAGCGTTCTGCTTTTCATCCAGGAATGAGGTGACGAGTGTTTACACGAGTCCCGGCACCTGTGGCTGATTCAGATCCGCCGCGTTCACACGTTTTGTTTTTTGTGTCCAGTCACCTGCTGCTGCATGAAAAGACTTGTGCTGATGTGGGAGAAGTGAAAGCTTGTTTATGTGGTGGACAATGAGCTCAGCAGATCAGGCCTCCACTATTGTCTCTGTGTTTGTGTGGAGCCGCCGGCTGCAGAGGTCCTCGACCTCAACGCCGGCTTCTCCTCTCCGAGTATAACACAACAACAACAACAACAACAACAACAACAACAACACGGTAGCTCATACAAACATCAACGTTTTCTGCAGCGTTCAGGGTCCTGAGGTCTGACCGGCTTCTCTGTCCGGATAAAGTCAATCACAACGAGGATCATCCAAGTTACTATCAAATTATCGCAAATTAGGTTTAGCTTTGAGGTGAGCCACGGACGCCTGTTTACACTCTGCACATGACAAAAGCTCTGAAATTAGCTTAGCTTAGCATGACGACGAAACAACAAGCTTCACTCAGACCGAAATGAACTAAATCCACCTGCTAGCATCGTAAAAACGTGCAAATGTTGTGTGTTTAAAGTGCACCAGATGTGTGTGATACTGTGAAACTGAAGGAAAATTTAATATTTTCATAATTTTTCTGCACTTTTATCATCACTACTATGTATTTCTCACAGCTAAAGGATTAATATATCATGTTTCGTAACAAATAGCGGTGAGATTGTGGATTACTCGCCTCGTCCTCCTTTCCAAGCCTGTAGGAGAACCTACAGCAGCTGCTAAAACCGAAGAAAACCACCTCTAAAACTCTGACTGCTTGGTTCATTTATCTGGGCTAAAGATGCATCATGCAAGTCTACAGATATTATGATGTAAACATGATGATTTTATACCAATAATTACAAAATTCTACACATTATGTTGCATTTCTGCAAACAAATCCACCGAAATTTGCATCAAGCTGCACCAAATTTCTTCCTCGCTCTCAACATGCTCACCTCGACTACCTGGGGCAGCTCTAGTTGATGAAAATGTCGTTAATTCTGCAGGTTTTTTTTGTCAAAAATGCTAAATATTATTGCTCCTGGTGGTGCCGGAGGAGAAGCTAACGGATCAGCACGAGCCAGCGGGCTGCATCTGGATTCACTTTCATGTCAGTGCATCCTCTGGTCGCCTGGAGATCAACTTTATTGATCGTCCACTGGATGTATTTACATGTTACAGCAGCTGAATGCTGATTAAAGAGGCAGGACAATAAGGCTGAAGCTGTGTCTGTGAACAGATGTGATGCATATTGTATCCAGCTGCAGGACACACAGGAGGATTATTGATTGATTGGCGATCAGGACTCGTGGAGCATTTAGTTTTTGCAGCCTCTCACATTTCCAGAGAAGATAAACGTCTCACCTCTAACGCAGCTACTAAGAATAATGACAACCAGTGAGGTCTAATTTACTTCTAGATGCCTCAGACTTTTTTTCCTTCTCAACACTCTGCAGCATCACCAGCATGCTTCCATCCAGACCACCTCCCAGCAGACGTGTGCACACTAGTGTGACCCTCTGCCGTGCTTCCTGTTGTAACGCCGGACCGTGCCGTGTAGGACTTTCTCACCACTCTCTCGGGACTCTCCTGCTCGTCCGCGGCGCCGCTGTGGTGAGGGTTCCTCTGTGGGGCGGAGGGCGACCTGGCAGACGGGGGCGACCGCCTCTTGTCTTTCACCTGCACACAGAGCAGACGGCTGCAGCTTCACCCTTCAGCTAACACGGCACTGCAGGGAAACAGCTGAAGAACACTGTGATGTGGATTCTCTCAGTTTATTTCAGCAGCTACTGGGACTTTTTTTTTTTTTGGCATTCCAGTTGTCCCCTGCTCCAGTGAAGCTGCACAACAAGGGAGGCTAGTCGGTAATCTCCCAGCCTGTGCATATGTGCAGCTCGGTAAACTTTCTCTGCATGAATAAAACACGACGTACAAGCTGCAGACTTGTTGTTCCTCCACTCTGTATGCTGCTGGAGCTGCTGCTGGCATCCACTTAACACGTGGATGTGCTCATCACACGCTACAGGACTGGATCCACGGCATCAAATATGAATCGGGTATTGATCACGAGCTGAACTGACAGAAAACTGAGGAAAAACTTCTGAGGAGGCTGTTTAACGTCTGGCTGACGCTCCTGCTTCTGGGTTTGAGTTGAAGGAGGAAAATGAAGCATTTTTCTCTCCGGTGAATACGAGCTTCTGTAAATGAAATTAGAAATTAAACTCTCGCTGACCTACTTTATTTCATTTCACCTGATTATCATCCAGCAGAACTTATTTCTATTATCACGGCTGACTTTAATTTGAATTTTTATTCCAGCAGAGTTTCTCTTTTATTTAGGTTCTTTTACATTTTATCTCTTTTATGAAGGAAACATGAAGCTGTGACCGCCCACATCTCATGTTTCTACTCGTTTCTTTAACTTGTACGTGAATAAACCTGTAGCGCCGTAACGTCTCGTCACGTTGCCGGTGTGACTGGAATAGTATCAGCAGCAGTTTTATATTAAATATATATATGCATTGTTTTATTAGTTATACATATTGTATTATATATATTTTAATTTACTGTTATTTTACTGTTATTACTTTTAATTAATAGAATTCCACAAAATCTAATCTACCTTTGGTTTTGGCGTGGAACAGGGGTCTCCAATCCTGGTCCTCGAGGGCCACAATCCTGCATGTTTTAGATGTGTCCTTCTTCCAACACACCTGATTCAAACCATCAGGATCGTTCTCAGGCTTCTGCAGAGCTTGATGATGAGCTGATCATTTGAATCAGGTGTGCTGGAAGAAGGAAAACATCTAAAACATGCAGGATTGTGGCCCTCGAGGACCAGGATTGCCAACCCCTGGTGTAGAACCTTTCACTTGGGGGTCTCACTACCCCATGTTTGTTTTTGGTTGCCCACCGTACCCTCATAAATGTGTTTTTCCCGCCTTGCCTCTCCCCTTTTGAACACGTATCCGATGGGAGAGGTAAGCCGGACTGTGCTGCTGTTGTCTGTGTGTCAACTTATGTACATAATTCCGTTTATAAGTTTACTTTCTCAGTTCTAATATGTTGTTCTATCATTTAATTTCTGTAGCAGTACGAGTTCAGACTGACAGCGGATTTTGTGTTCGTTTTATCGTCCGTCAAGTGTGTCAATAAACGGAGATCACCTCCAGAAGGATCTGTGTTCAGTTCATCACAACGCAGCACAGACGCCGCTGGTTACGTGACCTTTGACACCAGTTGAAAAATTAGCAAAAGTGGGCGAGATGTGGTGATCCCAGTGTTTATTGTGGAACATGTTTGAGTCCATGTGCTTGTGTGTTGCGGACTGGGCGGGGCTTTTGGACGGGAGAGGACTTGTTCACTCTCCTCCACATCTGAGGCTCATCGGTCATCAGTGCTGGATAAATCCTGCCTCCACCTGTGCTCCAGCGCCAGTGGATTATTCCACAGACCAGCCAGTTGACTACGGACCTTTGTGCTTTGAGCATAGACTGTATAAAAGATGGACGTAGCTACCGTGAC